TTCAGACAAACAACAACAACGAATAACTGATGGGTAAAGAGATAACTGGTTATGTAAATATCTTACATTCCGTTTGCGTTGTCGATTCTTCTTTGTTCAGTTTCTTGTCTGTTAGTTCATCTGCAAAATACAAGCATTATAGGTATGTGAAAATATTGATGATTCAGTGTGGTGATTCAGTTAGTGAACACAATCTTATGAATTCTTTCAATGACATAGCTTTAATCATTTCTGTTGAATTAGATCATGCTCAAGACAACTGTGATTTAGTTACGTAATCAATGTTGTAACACGAGTGAGTGTGTGAGCCCCTTATTTGAGTTATCGTTAACCTGCACCTGCTACATGTACAGAAATGCATGTCACTGTCACCTGGATCACTACTGTCGATGTGCAGAATAATGGAGACACTACTGAAATTTAGGAGTTTCACAAATCGTCACACTTAGATTACGGGACACGATGTTTGTTGTTTGTTTGTTTGTTGGCTTGTTATACACCTCGGTAATTTTTGTCATGCTAAGAAATGTCGATAACTTCCTACTGTTTATGAGAAAACACACCGTTCCTCTTGAATTACACATTGAGAATGTAAGCGGTGATACCGTCGAGGTTTTGTAGCATGATTTCTGTCATTGTTGATTTTGATGTAAATAAATCAATTCAGTGGTTGCTATCAAAACACTTGACACAGTGGACGTCTACTAGAAATATGTGAGTCGAATTGCACCAGTTATCCAAGTTAAATTTATCCAACTAACATCAGCCAAACCTAACTAGATTTATAGCAAACATATTTCATTTGCAGCATTTCTCTAAAATGATCCGTATGATTCGACGAACGGGAAAACCTGAAATTTGACAAATTCTAACAAACACAATTACCGACACGTCAGCGGGTACCACACTCACCTGAAGTACCCACCTTGTTGACAGATGGTGAATTAAGAGAATTTGGTGTAACAAGAGCAAAAGAAACTTAACGTCGTCTAATGATTTCTGATTTGTCCCTACCTAAATTGAACAATGTTTTGATTGATTACACTTAGAATAGAACTTTTCACAAAATACTAGAAAAGCAGATGTAAAGGATATTTTTGCAACAGCGGAACGGAGTGCGGAAACACCCAGAAGCTAATCACAGAAAGACACGTGTGAAAAACAAAATAATATCAGTGGTGGAAGAGGAACGCAGACATCGGTGAAACTGGAAGAAATAAATCTAAATAAAAATAAACCAAACTACAACATTCACAAAAGTGCAACAAACACTCCACTGAGTCTATTTCAGACAAACAACAACAACGAATAACTGATGGGTAAAGAGATAACTGGTTATGTAAATATCTTACATTCCGTTTGCGTTGTCGATTCTTCTTTGTTCAGTTTCTTGTCTGTTAGTTCATCTGCAAAATACAAGCATTATAGGTATGTGAAAATATTGATGATTCAGTGTGGTGATTCAGTTAGTGAACACAATCTTATGAATTCTTTCAATGACATAGCTTTAATCATTGCTGTTGAATTAGATCATGCTCAAGACAACTGTGATTTAGTTACGTAATCAATGTTGTAACACGAGTGAGTGTGTGAGCCCCTTATTTGAGTTATCGTTAACCTGCACCTGCTACATGTACAGAAATGCATGTCACTGTCACCTGGATCACTACTGTCGATGTGCAGAATAATGGAGACACTACTGAAATTTAGGAGTTTCACAAATCGTCACACTTAGATTACGGGACACGATGTTTGTTGTTTGTTTGTTTGTTGGCTTGTTATACACCTCGGTAATTTTTGTCATGCTAAGAAATGTCGATAACTTCCTACTGTTTATGAGAAAACACACCGTTCCTCTTGAATTACACATTGAGAATGTAAGCGGTGATACCGTCGAGGTTTTGTAGCATGATTTCTGTCATTGTTGATTTTGATGTAAATAAATCAATTCAGTGGTTGCTATCAAAACACTTGACACAGTGGACGTCTACTAGAAATATGTGAGTCGAATTGCACCAGTTATCCAAGTTAAATTTATCCAACTAACATCAGCCAAACCTAACTAGATTTATAGCAAACATATTTCATTTGCAGCATTTCTCTAAAATGATCCGTATGATTCGACGAACGGGAAAACCTGAAATTTGACAAATTCTAACAAACACAATTACCGACACGTCAGCGGGTACCACACTCACCTGAAGTACCCACCTTGTTGACAGATGGTGAATTAAGAGAATTTGGTGTAACAAGAGCAAAAGAAACTTAACGTCGTCTAATGATTTCTGATTTGTCCCTACCTAAATTGAACAATGTTTTGATTGATTACACTTAGAATAGAACTTTTCACAAAATACTAGAAAAGCAGATGTAAAGGATATTTTTGCAACAGCGGAACGGAGTGCGGAAACACCCAGAAGCTAATCACAGAAAGACACGTGTGAAAAACAAAATAATATCAGTGGTGGAAGAGGAACGCAGACATCGGTGAAACTGGAAGAAATAAATCTAAATAAAAATAAACCAAACTACAACATTCACAAAAGTGCAACAAACACTCCACTGAGTCTATTTCAGACAAACAACAACAACGAATAACTGATGGGTAAAGAGATACTGGTTATGTAAATATCTTACATTCCGTTTGCGTTGTCGATTCTTCTTTGTTCAGTTTCTTGTCTGTTAGTTCATCTGCAAAATACAAGCATTATAGGTATGTGAAAATATTGATGATTCAGTGTGGTGATTCAGTTAGTGAACACAATCTTATGAATTCTTTCAATGACATAGCTCTAATCATTGCTGTTGAATTAGACCGTGCTCAAGACAACTGTGATCTATTCCTGTATTTGATCTTGTCATATTGAAAGCTTATTCAATTTTTCATTTTTAGTTTTTTTAGTTTTCCACTTTAGTAATGCAGTGTACGATTCTTAGTCATGAATACCTTCTGTCATTTCTGTTTTTTCTTGGCCACTGATCTATTTTAATGTTGGTTGCTATTTCTCTTGTTTGTTAAATGGCACTCTTATTATTTCGTTAGTCGTAAATTGAATGCTCAAACCGATAGCACATTTTCTTCCCTTATCTATTGCGTTTATATAGGTTTTCATAATTGTTGCGAATATAAATAAAGTTCACATTTTGACGAACTTCGCGTACATTAAAATTGATGTCTTTTACCAATTTATACATGACATCGAATACACAGTTTCCTATATTTAAATTGATAAACATGTTGTATAAATTTTTGAAAGTTTCAGTTCACTACTATTTACATCGCTATTGGTAACAACTTTGGTAACTTACATTTAACTTTTGTTTTCTAAAATCCAATGAAAATGTTTTGCTATCAATCACACAGATTAAAGTATTAAATTTGAACACTTCACTCGAAATTCAACTTTAGCTACTCAAACCTCAATGCAAACGTATATTGACGTTGCTGTGGATGCAAAACACATGATTTGCGCCTAATCTCACTACAATATTGATCAGCATCGGAACTCATGACGTACAAGCACACACAACTCAGTGATACGTCAAATATTTTTAGTGCATCGCAACTTAGACTATTGGTCAATTGGTCGATTCAATGACTTCTGTTCATCTTACTACTAGAAATGCGTTACAGAAATCAAATGTTTTCCATTATTTGACAGTTTAATCGGTAAACTCACATTCATGACGTTTTCGTTTTGATTCCAGTAGAAGAGAGAATAGTTTGAAAATAAACACCTTTGTTCATTATTTGAAAACGAAACATCAAGTTAAGAAAATTATGCTCAGCAATGATAAGTGACACAACTCACCAATCTAAGTATTCCAACTTCATTTTTAATCCTGTAGATTCTACTACCACCAGACAAACACTATGCTCTGTGACAGCCTGAAGTATATGTGATTCTGTGGTCCATTACAACCGTGATCCCTTGCAAAGATTCACGTCATTCAATCGCCTGATCGTGACAGCAATGGAGTAGATGGTCACCATTTATCTCTAGTTATCTATATGGAAATATAGACATTGTGTTCCTATTCAAAATGAGATGAAGTATGCTTCGAAATTCAGTACAATTTGTGCTGATTTCAATATCTGTTACCAGAGACATGGCACGTGTTATGTTATGGTTGTCATTGAATTATCGTGATTAATATACTTCACCATATTCAACACTTCAAGAATCTGAATTGGTTCAAACCAATGGTGGCCTCATTTTCTCAATATTGATTTTTCTAATGTTTCCAGTTGTTATCGGATTGAATAGGCAATGTGGACTGTGAACTTAATAACTCAACAAACGTCAGCTCATAACTTGTAGGTACGCACAATAATACCAATTTATCGTCTATGTGGAAACACAATATTTATAACTGTACATCTCGCCTAGATCTACATGATACATGTTGTCACTATGTGGCAACTTTTATAATTATCTTGTATTGTGTGACTGTGAAATGTAAGCAATGAACATTCGAATATGCACATCATCTCCATCAAACCTTGAATGTCGAAATATTTTGCAAACAATGATAGACATGAAAAAATATTACCGATTGTTGGTAAAGAGAAACGGTCTCCACGTCTATTGAACAGAATGAACACTTCTGTGCTTCTTTCCTTCACTTCTGTGTGGTTCATATAATATTCAACTTGATTTCGTGGCATGATAAACATCTCCAATTTATTTTTCGAATTTCCTCTAAACATAACTGTGGTGTCGACTTTACATGGTGATTCTTCTCTTTCCAATGTTATACGTGAAGACGAGTCAGACTGCTTTTGTATTCGAACATTTTCGATCCTTGGAACTGTGAGAAAAGACGATGAGAATGTAAGGCAAAATAAATACACATAGTCAGCAACAACGTTTTTGTAATGCATTATGTTCTAATCTGAATTTACCGGAGCACATGGAATATTTATCTATCAATTACACTGCATTCACTATTGGAATTCTAAACAAATTTTCCTACAAGTATATTACGTGTGGAAACTGTTAAGCAGATTCTTCTCTGCTTTCAGTACAAAATACATGAATACAGAGACAAGATATAATACTGAACAACTGCAATAAAATGACAAGCTCACCTCGTTCATATTCAATGTTGTATGTTGAAAACAATGAAGCGTATCCAAGAATCCCACTGTAGTAACCCTCTGCTTTATACGTTATCGCTTCACACGGTTTCCCAATAGTTGGCAAATTTCCGATATCGCCAGCTTCAATATATCTTTCAGTTTTCCAAAAGTACCCCGCTGAATTTTCTAAATATACATATTTAAACGAATCGTGCTTCATCGGTTTCCATTCAAACGACAGCGATTTCGTCTGTTCTTGAATTACACGCAAAGTATTTGTACTTGGATTTTCTGTAAAAAGATCCAAATAATTAGCTTTCATTTTAAAAACAATTATAAATATGTTACTTATTGTCAACCGCACATGATCAATACCATTCATTTGTCGCATGATTCGTCTGGTTGCAAATGTGTGCTTAGGAAGCTTTGATCTAAGTGTAAACGAATATACTACTGGGACAGTGTACTCAAATCCTCTTATTTTCTGAGTGGGCTTCAAAGTTCTTCTCGTTTAGCTTACGTAATAAAGTTGCATGATAAGTTCACATCAGGCTACTGGAATACGAACAGCAGTCAGGCGCGTCACTTTAGATGCACACGTGTGACCGACTCTTATGGTTATGTGGACTGGATTGATGTCTGTGCGGCAACTTGGATCACCAGTCTGTAGAAAATGTTTTGATGCAACTACCTTACTTGCTCTCACTCAGCAAGTGCGTCTACAGGGAATATTGATGTCCACTAGTGACAGTTATTAAGAATTTGAGTCAGCTGCCAGTTGATACGTACAACGTTGGGGTCACTCAAGTAGTTTGTAGAACTACCAATTCGTTTAATCGTTTGATGTCATGGTTTAATCATTACATTATATCAGTGAACCAAACACCTCGTTGTCTATTGCCGATTGATTTATCACAATTTCACACATCATCGTCAAGAGGAGAGAGTGATAGTAATGAAACGAAGAAAATTGACATGAATATTATTATTACTTTAGATAAATTATATTATCATTCATCCATCCAAAACATTACCACACCTACTTCCAACCATATTCGTCTTCAAGTATGCCGGCTGATACGTCCCAATCACCGTCTTTGATGATATGAATGCTAAAGTGATCAGTAGAAGAAAAAGAAGAAGAAAAACATCAAACATTCATGCGTGTTTGAACGACATTCAAAAACAACGTGTATTTTGTAAAATCGTTTTGATTAACTTCAGTTTCCATGACAAAATTTCTGTGATATTTTCATCTTGAAAACGTTGCTCAATCTTCAGGTGAATAAATTCCGTATAATCGTCTGGATAAATGATGACGCTTTGAGACCAATATCTCAACACCATAATATTGGCACTCCATGATATTTATGAAACACAAAATGAGAAACGTAGTCAAATGCGTATTCCCGCAAAACGATCATTGACAAAGTCATCGAGTTAAGAATATTTTGATATTCCTAATATTCAATACAGACGGTTTGTCATCATCAATTAATAACGGTATTCTCAGTGGAAAAATAATGAACGGAACAAATGAATATAGTCTCTCTCTCTTGTGTTTACCACATAGAAAACAAACATTTATCACATAAAGATTTAACTCACTCATCATCAATGATAACAAAACTGATATACGTCCTGAGGCCTGTACCATATGTCAGCCCTTTAAAACTAGTAGTCAGCAATTATATTGAACATTAATATATGTTTTGAAAATTCTAGACAAGATATATTAAACAATTGTGTAAGTGAACCAGTTGAATGAGACAGACAGTCTGTAGGCTGCTTTTCTATAAAGTCAACTGAGTAAATAATTGAAAACTTTATTTCGGTTTAGACTCTTTATCTCATATTATCGTAAGACTGAAATAAATAATCGCGTGATAGTTTACAATCCTGACATTCAGGAATTATGTCGTATCTTCATTGTATTTTGATATGATTTTCGCCTACTTCAATATCGGAAGATTAATAAACGTATGATTGACTTCTAAGCGTCGCCATGAATATCGAAACAGTGTTTACACCAACGCACTCTACTTCTCTTATGAATTTTATGTAACTGCTTGTTACTAGATCTTCATGGAATGAAACTGATCATATTTTATGGTCGTCTTTACACACTTGGGAACGATAGACTTTATCGTCTGCTGTCAATCGTCTGACATGATGAGTAATTTCCTAAGTAAAGACGGCATCAAATTTATTGAGTCATACCTCATATGAAACCAACGTGTTGAAAACTTATGTTCTATTCCGTATTTATCAATGCGTTAAACAAATGATGGAATCCTTAGTTAGCTTGCCTCATAATACTGATGAGTAATTTCCTAAGTAAAGACGGCATCAAATTTATTGAGTCATACCTCATATGAAACCAACGTGTTGAAAACTTATGTTCTATTCCGTATTTATCAATGCGTTAAACAAATGATGGAATCCTTAGTTAGCTTGCCTCATAATACTGATACGTCTGTTGCTCAAATGTTTCTTGTCGATTTTCAGATTGCCCATGTTCGTTGGTCCTGGACAGTGTGGGTGATGCAGATTTACCTTAGATTTAACAAATTTCCACACAAACGCAGATTCCATCGAACAGTGACTTGTGTAATTTTGTGGAAACTTCAAGGATTCAGTCACGAAAATTGCAATCAATTAGCATCAGTGTGATACATAGTTCGTCAATATGTTAATAGTTTTCATGACGTTTGCTGACCAGGCGTCAGTTTTGAGTTTTACCTGAGTTATATTGACCTAGTGAACGCAGAAACAAGCATTCCATGAAACAATGTACAGGAGGTTCCACTTCTGTGTGCAACGATTGTTCATTTTCCGCGCGTCAACGCAACGGATCACTCGACAAAGTACGAAGCAGTATATTCTGATTGAGAAATATATTTGTATTAAAGTTGGTACGTAATTCTCGACGTATGATTAGTAAAACCACACCATTTCGTGTGTGTGTGCATATGCCGCATTCATCCCGTATGGCAATAATTTTGACGATTATCGGTGAACAATTAGTGTGATTGTCATCGTTTCCTGACGAAGTACATCCGCAGTATGTCGTTTACTGCATCTCATTCTGTATTCAACTTCCACCTCACATCAAGTCACAGCTACGATCAATCAATTATGCATGCAGATAGAGTGAGTGTGACTTCTTTCTTGAAATATACTTACACAATTTCTTAATCGCTGATCATAACCACGTAGTTCAACAGTTGTTGTAGGATAGCTCATTGAGTGACTCGTTTGAGTCTGTTTCAAATAATACGAACGGTGCGCAGCGTTCGATCTATCCCATATAAAACTGATTTAAAATGTTTTTATCAATAAACTTGAACACGTTTGTCTAAATTTCCGACAAAATGTCAACAACAGGATTATCCAGATCACTGAAATTAGACTACAACTAACAGCGTTGCTGTTGAATCTCCAAATCATATCTAATGAAATATGGTTATGATGGTATACGGTCATAATATTCCGAATCATGTACACATTTTCCGTTCTTAGCTAGAACAATTTCACCGTACGTACTCATTGCGAGATGAAACTCGCGAAGATATGCAACTGAGTCGTTTTCAATTCAGTCCGTAAATTATTGAACTCCCGATGAACTTATGGATTTCGGTTAGACACGAATACCCTGAGATTGTTAGTATGTTATCAATTAGAATCGTACAATAAAAATGATTCACTTGTCAGCACGACAGAAGCTGCAAAATATCATGAAGTACGAAAAAATAGTCCAATCATTTTGATACGATTCAACACTATCCAGACCAATAATATTCTGAGGTTTAACCCACTGCAACATTTCTTCAAAAACATGTAGACCAAACAGCTTGAGTTTGTATCTGAACATCCAGAACGGTTTTCTATAGAAAAATAACTTAGCACTCATAACGTACTTAAGACATATTTACATTTTGCAGTGGTTCAACCCTATAACACTAGCTAGCAGCTGTCAACACTAGTTCTGATTAGTTTCCAATTCGCCTTTGATGAGTCATCATGGAAGAAACTCAACTAAACAACTCAAATGAAATTACCATACCTCTTCCAACCAAGTATGTAATTTATACTACAAATTCTTTCTTAATCCAAATGGAATCAACAGACGCTGCAGTTTGATGAATTAATAGTTCTACCACTGTGTACAATTTGAGGATCCTAACCTTTCATAAGTTTACAGTGTTGTGAAATGAAATCTTTATATAAGGTCGATGTGAACAGAGAAACAAGAAGACTTGACAAACTACGGAAACTATTTTTCGAGGTGTTATTTCAGGTAATTCAAAGCTTGTTAAACAACAACATTTTTGTATTCCTGGCCTATACTACAGATCATAGCTCTCGTCTGATGTATGATTCACTGCTATAGCCATTTTTGTTTCAAAGCTATTTTAATTTAAACGTATTAATTTTCTCCTTATTTTCCAGGATAATCCTCAATTTGACACACAATTGTATTTTTACTAATAGTTGTACATTGTGGTCGGTTTAGTCATTTATACATTTATGTATGTTTTAACACTGATCTGAAATCGGGAACCAGATCGGAATTGAGAATAAATCGAGTAGTGTTTCAGTTGACTTGTCTTCTCTCACTAGCGTGCTTGTCAGCCAATCAGGTGATAGGATATTTTTCTTCTCTCTACCCCACTTCGAACTCACACGTACTAGCTTCACGGTTATGGCGGTCAGCCTGTCGCCTCAAGGTCTTAATCTAGATTACACAAGTTATCCTCAGCACCAGAAGTGGGTAAGACATAACAAAGGTTAAACTTGTCAACATTCAGTTATCTAAGGTCTTGTAGCTTAAACGAAGAAGCGCCGTACAAATGGAACTTATTCATGTTGCCCCTCTGGTTAAGAATCTTTAGTATTGTTAGTCAGAGAATCTGGAAATTAGTTGTACTATTATTCACTGAATTCCTACTACTAAGCCCGTGTTTGAAGCAGTAGCACAAAATCGTGCTCTTTTATGTGCTGTGAATAATATGCCTTGAAAATAATTTGCTTGTGATATTTTCGGTTTGTAAAACGGGAGCAAAATACATTGTGGAGGATATAGAATATTTATTAACAGACAACAAGCTTGTCCACCAACAGCGATTGTAAACATTCCACGAATATGTGAATAATAGCAAAAATCCAAGCACCTCACGTAACCTTCTACTTTCTCGATGATGCTCTCCTAGAACCCACATTCAAATCAACAACATAAATCTGTAAATATCTTAATAAACTGCTTGTAATCCAAAATGGTCCAGTAGTTCGACATGACGCAAACAAAAAGCCGAATCAGAA